AAAAAAAAAAAAAGAGACGTACCGTCGTCGATCACATATATACAAACGAGCTTGTCCTTCACCAAGAATTGCCTCACGACTTTCTTTATCCATTTTATCAATTACAATTCGCCAACGTCGACAAACTAAACGAGCTCGAAAACAAGCTAACGGTTCGCATCTAAAATTAAATTTATCCTTTAAAATATTACATTGAATTTTAGTTGCATTAACAATATTGTAGCTTATATTAATTATTCTAATTTATAATTACAAAAATTTTTAATAAATTTGATTTGATTGTGTAAATTATCAGCTCCCTGTTTTTTTTTTCCTTATTTCTCCAAAATTATTCCATTTAAAATTAGTTATTATAAAAAAAAAAAAAGATAACGTATCACAAATATAAATATAAGCGTAAGGGCAAAACAAACAAGTAAATAAATAAATAAACAAATAAATGTCATTTTTTATGAAATAAAAATTCTAATAAACCATTATTTCTATTCATTCATTATGGACATATTCGTCTCTTTCCGCTTGCATTAATCAACAAATCAATTTCCTCCTTACAAGCATTATATGATATCATTTATACCAGAAATATATAAGCCTTTCCAAAAGGCATTCTTCATCAATATCATGACATCAGGTAGAAAAAAAATAATAATGATAAAATCAGAAATGAAAGAATTAGCATTTTATGTAATCATCAATGGGCATACATCAAATGATTTCACTTCCTGAATTTATAACTAAACCATATATTGGAAATTGCAGTTAGAAGCTGTAAATTATAAGAGGTAATGTGGAATATATTTTTTTAATGCGTCAATTCAATTAATTATAATTCATTTCTAATTTTATGCTATTTCATTTAGTTAATATTAAATGTTAGAAATTAAAATGAAAAAAAAAAAAAACGTATACCGTTTAAAAATCATAAGTAATACTTCCACTGGAATATCATCAACTGAATGAACATGTCTTGATCGTTTCATCGATGGTGGCAACATTATTACAGATTGTTGTTGTTATTGTTGTTATTGATGATGATAATAGTGATGATGATGATGATGATGATGATACAGTTGATAGGAGAGAACAAAATAATAAGCTATAATTGAAATTATAAAATCTTAATAAATACTAACAGTATGTAATTTCAACGTCGAGAAACGATGAACAATAAAATAATAATGCAATGAATAAAAAATTAGAGAAACTCAAAAAGTAAAAATTAAAAATATATAATATAGCTGACAATTTTTTAAGCAGTAAATAATCTAAAAATAGAAAGAAAAAAAGCAGTAAAAATTGCAAATTTTGAATCATAAATCTAAAATCAAATTAAATTAAAATTTAATTTAATGTTAGGCAATTTGAAATTTTGTTTCATTGCAACAATATATTAAAATTTTAACTGCACTTTTCATTATTGTATTCCTTTTAGGAAATGGAAAAAAGTAATGAGTGAGTGTTTAGGAAGGCACGCTTTTTAAAATATTATGAATGAAAAATGCAATGAATACGACAACATTCTTCGTCTTTTTTTCATTCTCTCTGAGTGATCAAAAATAATCATTTTTGCTATCAGACATGAAAAAGACCTGAATTCTTTCACTACCAAACCCATCCCCTTAAAATGTCTTTTAATTTCTGATCTCTTGGATAAAAAAAAAAAAGGAAATATTTTAAAGTATTTAGAAAATTTAAATGAACAGAAATTTGAATTTAAAATCAGACTATTTCATTCAATTATGAATATGTATTTTTTTTTCTTGATATTAATAAAATATTAATAGGTAATATAAGTAAGGCATGCTTACTGCATATCATTTTATCATTTATCAATGCCTGCTTTATTTTATTACACTTAAAACTCATCCCTAATTTTGTCATATATAACTCAGAAAAAAAATGTGTGACATCGATGATATGTCAAGTTGATTATCAATTAGGAATAAAAAAAGTTAACAGGTACTGATTGATACGGATCAACATTTCCATTATTACTGTTTTACTAACACAAATGCATATTAAATGAAAAACGCAAAAATAGAAATGCATTAATTTGCAAATTTTGAAAATATATTGCACAAATTCATGCAAAATTACAAAGAAAATGAACCATTATTATTATCTGATAAAAAATAAATATATTTAATTGATTGTATTAAACAATTTTAATTTCAAAATTTTGACTAATCAAAATTTGCCAATTCTGCTTCAATTATTAGATTTCTCTAATGAAAATAACGCCTTAAAAAATTAATTTAAAATTAAAACATAAGAAAAAAAAAATTACCCGCTAAAGATGATGATAAATGTGCATTTTGCAAAATAGAATTGGATTGTTCATATTAAGTAACGCTAATAATAGCATGAAAATAATATAGCATCATTTAATGAGAAATACAATGGGAAGAGATGGATGATGTCTAAAAGTGCGGGCAAATTTATTGCATATACTAATGGTGATGATGATCTCATTTTAACCTCACTTTCTATCATAATATAGTAACATTCCACTCTTGCGATGAAAATAACTCAGGAATTTTAAATAATACTAAACTTAAATAATAGAATCGTAGCAGTGTCGAGAATTTTTGATTTCTAACAATCAAAGAAAAGAATACTGGAAATAACTGATCCCGAGACTGTGTACGTGCAATTAGATTTCAAAAATATTGAAATAACAAATGTTATTAAAATGAGAAAACATAAAAATGTTTTACAAAAAAAAAAAAAAAAAAAAAAAAAAAAAAAAAAAA